GGGGGGGGGGGGGGGGGGGGGGGGGTCAGGCAACTAGTGGGGAGAATTTAAAATCAAAGGTAGTAATACAGTCCACAAAGATAATGTTCTATATTCTGCTTTGGTGAGTAGTGAACGGTATCTTAAAAGTTCGAGAGTGGGCATCATTGAACGATGGACTATGGGAATATCAATCTTTATGACCCTGAGACCGGAAGAATTAGATGGTACCTAGCTACCAGTATCAACTGTTCTGAAAGGGAAGCACATTAGAAGGTTCTGGAGAAAATGTGAACCAAAATATAAATTCATAAAACAGACCAGGCTTACTGGTCAGACAGAGACTGATGGAACCCTGAAACAATGACCCCTGGTCACCCTTTAGGTCTGGAACTGAACTCACCCCCGTAGCTCAAATTTCAGCCAAGCAATAGCTAGATCTATAAGGGGGTACGCACATCATAGAAAAGTCAACCTTTTGAGATCAAAAGGACAGCATTTACCCAACAATAGAAAGTTCAGAAGGGTTGGGAAAGGAGGAGGAGTGGAAACAGGAAACACAGGGAGGCAGTGGGGTAAGTGAGGTTACATTGAGGGGCTTATCATCAGTGAGATGAAGTGTGTATGATTTGTTGAATGTAAAACCGATGATCTGCGCCATAATCCTTTACCCAATTCACAATAAAAGGTTAAAAAAGGACTAGCGACAAAGCCAGCTATAGGCGATTCTAAGCAATACCAGTGTTGGCATGCACCTCGCTGCCTGCAAACTGCCTCTGCCTTGGCGCCCTCTGCTGGCTCAATGAGGTCCTTCACAGGTTCTTTTTGTGGGTGGAGAGTAGGAGGACTCTAGGACTAAATCAAGGTCCCACAGGGCTATCCAGAGTCTTCCAGAGGATGCTTTCTCATTTCTTCATATCAAGAGACCCTGGCCCATCCAGAATGTCTTATCGCTCATCACTTGTTTTTCCCCCTATTCCCTCCCAACTTTTTAATTTGAAAAAAAAAAAAAAAAAAAGTGAACTTACAGAAATACCGTTAGGATAATACCACAAGTGCCCGCCCACACATCCTTGGCACACATACATTCACTTTCTCTTTCTTTCTCACACTCCCATACACACACACATAGCATATAACACACACCATACACAACATCACTCTTCTTTTGCTGAACCATCTGAGAGTTTGCTGCCCTCATCATGACACTTCTTCCCTGGGTAGTTCAACACCTCTTAAAAGTGACAGCATTCTCTTACAGAACAAGAGTCCAATTCAGGAGAGTTAACACTGAGGCATACTTATGATCTCACATACAGCGCATATGCAAATCTCCCCCACTGACCTAATAATGACCTTCACAGCGGCTTTTTAGGATGTGTGTGGAAGTAGGGTAGGGTAGAGGGTGAGGTAAGGGAACTCCAGCACTAAATCAAGGTTCATGTGCTACATTTTAGTTAAGTCTCCTTTAATCTAGATCCACGGAGAGCCTCTGCCTGGTTTTGTATGGCCTTTGAACTGAGAATGGTTTTACAGAGTTATGAAAACCAATAACTACAACAAAATCAAACAAGGCATGCAAGAATATACCTCAAGTAGTATGTGATCCATGGAACTGAAAATATTTGCCATCCTGGTGTGGGCTGTGGGATAATGCGTCAGACTGCAAAGTCATTTGAACTGCAAGGTCAGTAGTGGTTCAAGCTCACTTTGTTGTTGTTGTTGTCAGGTGCCATCGAGTCGGAACCGACTCATAGTGACCCCATGCACAGCAGAACTTAACAATGTCCGATCCTGGGCCAACCTCACTACTGCCGCCACACTTGAGTCCATCAATGATGCCACCTGGCTGATCCATCTCGTTGGGGGTCTTCCTCTTTTTCTCTGACCCTCCACCTTACCCAGCATGACATCCTTCTCCAACGATTGCTTCCTCCGGACAATATGTCCAAAGTAGGAGAGACGAAGCTTAGCCATCCTGGCCTCCAAGGAGCACTCTGGCTGCACTTCCTCCAAAACAGATCTATTGGTTCTTTGGGCAGTCCATGGCACTTTCAGCATTCTCCTCCAACACCACAATTCAAAGGCATCAATTCTTCTACGATCTTCCTTATTCACTGTCCAGCTTTCGCATCCATATAAGGCTATTTAAAACACAATGGCCTGGGTCAGGCGCACCCTAGTCCTCAAGCTGATATCTCTGCTCTTCAATACTTCAAAAAGTTCCTGTGCAGCAGATTTGCCCAATGCAATACATCATTTGATCTCTTGACTGCTGCTTCTGCTAGTGTTGATAGTTGATCCAAGAAGAATGAAGTTCTTAACAACTTCAATCTTTTCTCCACTGATAAGAATGTTGTTTATTGGTCCAGTGGTGAGGATTTTTGGTTTCTTGACATTGAGATGCAATCCATATCGAAGGCTGTGCTCTTTGATCTTCATAAGTAAGTCCTCTTCACTTTCAGCAATCAAGGTTGTATCATCTGCATATCGCAGGTTGTTAATGAGTCTTCCTCCAATCCTGATGCCACGTTTTTCTTCATAGAACCCAGCTTCTCGTATTATTTGCTCAGCATACAGGTTGAATAAGTATGGTGAAAGAATACAACCCTGTCTCACACCTTTCCCAATTTTAAAACATTCAGTGTTCCCATGTTCTGTTCGAACAACTGCTTCTTGGTCTAGGTACAGATTTCTTAGAAGTATAATTAAGTGTTCTGGAATACTCATACTTCTCAATGTTGTCCATAGATTGTCATGATCCACACAATCGAAAGCCTTTGCGTAGTCAATAAAGCACAGGTAAACACCCTTCTGATATTCTCTGCTTTCAGCCAAGATCCATCGGACATCAGCAATGATATCTCTCGTTCCACGGCCTCTTCTGAATCCAGCTTGAACCTCTGGAAGTTCTCTGTCAATGTATGATTGTAGCCGTTTCTGTATTACCTTTAGCAAAACTTTACTCGCTTGAGATATCAAAGAGATTGTCTGATGATTTCTGCATTCTGTTGGGTCACCTCTCTTTGGAATGGGTACAAACATTGATCTCTTCCAATCAGTCGGCCAGACAGTTGTCTCTAATGTCTAGAACTCTAATGTCTCCTCAACCCCCTGGTTATTCAATGAGATGCTAATCTAGGTCCGGAAGAGGTAATCACTAATAATGATTGGGAGATTAGCTTGGACTGTCCAGTTGGGCCCAGTAATCACATGAGTCACAACGAGCAGATGAGGAAGGCAAGAGAACTGAGGCAGAAGGGAGTGAGAGATTCAGGGTGAAGAGGGTTTCACTGGCTGTGGCAGCTTTGAAGATGGAGGCAGAGGACCAGGAGCCAAGGAATGCAGGTTGCCTTGAGAAGCTGAGAATGACCCCTTGCCTACTGTTAGCAAAGAACAAGAACCTCAATCCTACAGTCTCCCAGGATGGAGTTCTGCCAACAACCTGAATGAGCTCGGAGTGAGTGCAGACCTGTTCACACCTTGATTTGGAGTTGTGAGACTCTCAGCAGCCATGCTGCACCCAGACTGCTGACCCATGGGAACGCTAAGATAATAAACGAGTGTTGTCTAAAGCCACTAAGTTTGTGGTAATTTGTCTGTCAGTTATAGACAGTTAATACTATAAGATAATCATTTCCTTCTTTAGCGAATCATTTCTGGGGCCTGGAGCCATGCCTCTATGCGAATGCATATCATAGGATGCTAGAGTCCAGAGAGGTCCTGGACCCAGAGCCAGCAGGGCTGTGTGAAGAGGACCAGTGAGAAGGCAGTCCCTGTCCTCATGCCACCATTCCCTCAGAATGAGCCTGGGCCCTCCTACCCACTTGATATCACCCAGACCAGGCAGTAGCACTTTGCTCCAGCAGTCCCTCACGACTCCCCACAAATGCTGCCCCCAGACACAAAAGGAATGGGATGCTGACTCAACAGAGGAAAAGGCCTGATCCAGATAGAAGCGCTGCCCTGACCTCCCTGGGCCTGAGTGTTTCCTGTTGCTGCTCGTTCAGAGGGCAGAGAGGGCCCGACAACTCAGTTCTAGGTGTGTTCACCACAACAGGCTGCCTACACCCAGCCACACACATACTCATATACACACACACGGCACATCACACACCCCCTACACACATCATACATCAAATAGATACGTATGCACACTCATATCACACACACATTGTTAAACTCACATGCCACAGACATACCCATCACACAAACACACAAACACCACACGCATTGCACATACCACATACCATACATCCAACCCTCCTACCCCCAAACCATATCTCCCCATATATCATGTACAAACATAACACCCACATAAACACTATCACATACACCATCCAACTGACATACACGACACACCACACTGAGAATACAGTTTTACCTCCTAATGTAGCCATTGTTGTTTCTTCTTCAATTTCTTCAGTTCTGGAATCTTCTGTGTTGCTACCTCCAGCCAAGGGTGGAGAAGTGACTGGGGGAGCCTCTGGCAGTTTGGGCTTCAGGGGAGAGGCCTATAGGCAGGAGAGGGGAAGACAGGCTGGTGATTCAGCAACACTGATGTCCAGGAACTTACTGGTTTTCTTAGTTGGTTTGTTACATACAATATGGCACTATAGGATAAGCACTGGACTGTTAACCACAAGGTTGGCAGTTCGAGTCCACCAGTTGCATCATGGAGAAAGATGAGGCTTTCTCTTCCCATAAAATTGACATCCTCGAAAACCCTATATAGAGTTGCTATGAGTTGGAACCAACTCAACAGTACTTAATAACAACATAGTTTCTAAGCTATTAGCACAAGACTTCATTTCAGATTGTTTCTGTAAAAGCAGTTTGTGGTTTTCTTCTCGCCAGGCTGTGACGCCCCCTGGGTCCTGGGGCAACAAGCCATCAAGTTCATTCTGATTCACAGTGACCCAGTAGGACAGAGAAGGGCTGCATTGGTTTTCAAGACTACAAATCTTTACAGAGGCAGATTGCCACATATTTCTCTCACAGAGTGGCTGGTGGGTTCCACCCACCCACCTTTCAGTTAGCAGTCCAATGCTTAACCCACTGTGCTACCAGGGATCCTTCCAGGTTACCGGACAAACCAAAATTGTGAGTGTAAACCTCATGAAGCAGGAGTTGTGTTAGGAGTTTACTTGCCATTTCTTGTCAAAATGTATAATCTGTGCTTTTCTAAATTCACTGAAGCATGAAAGTCAAAGGCATATTGTACATGGGTCCTAAACTGCTAAAGGGTCTGGTTTTAAACAACTTAAATGTTGTTGTTGTTAAGTGCCGTCGAGTCGGTTTCGACCCATAGCGACCCTGTACAGGGTTTCCTAGAGTGTAAATCTTTACGGGAGTAGAAAGCCTCATCTTTCTCCCGCGGAGCAGCTGGTAGTTTCGAACCGCTGACCTTAAGGTTCGCAGCCCGATTCGTAACCACTACGGTACCAGAGCTCCTTAAACAACTTAAATAGGTACCACATATATTAGTTTCTCATCGGGAGATCTCACACTTGTTTATCGCTGTAGTTTAGCCCCTGCTCTTCTCTTCCCAGACCACACATAAAGGTCGGGACCCCTGGCAGCCACCCACACTCTTGCTGGATTCAACCTCCTCACCAGCCCTGGAAACAGCCTGCTACCCAGTCATCCTGCCTCTTCTTGGGGGCCGCAGCTGGCTCAGCCCCCAGCAGGGCTGTTTGTACAAACAGAATCAGGTTTGGTGGGTAGCTGGGGGTGAACTTCTGGTGGAGTCAAGGAGAGGGGCATGAGGTAGTTGTACGTGTGTTCTGTGAGGGGACAGCTCTGAAGCGGACCCTGGTGGCCCCTGACTCTCTTACCACCTTTGGGCCAGCTCCAGGAGGTCATGGGGAGATGGATTCTAGGACTGAGCCTCCAACATCTGAGAATCATTTAGACCCTCTGTCAGTCCTGCTCATCACTAATTGAAATTTTTTTTTTTTTTTGTCTCCCTTAATCTCTCCTTTCTCTTTCCCTCTATACTGAGTTGAATAGTGCCCCCCCCCACCTCCACCCCAAATCATGTTCACCTGGGCCTCATTTGGAAATAAGATCTTTGCACATGTAAGCAAATCAACATGGAGTCATATAAGAGTAAAGCAACATACAAAAAGCCCTGTTGCTGTTCGGTCAGTTCAGACTCATAGCAACTCCATAAGGATACAATAAAACTCCCCCATCCGGTTTTCTGGAGCCCTGGCGGCATTGTAGGACAAACAAAGGACTGTTAACTGAAAGGTCAGCAGTCAAAATCACTCCGAGGGAGAGAGATGAGGTTTTCTGCTCTTGTAAAGATGTACAGCCTCAGAAAACCTATACAGGGTTTGCTATGAGTCTGAATCGACAAGATAGTAGTGTATGTTTATATATCTACAGAAGCCATGGTTGTTGTTGTTGTTAAGTGCCATCGAGTCGGTTCTGACCCATAGCGGCCCTGTACAGGGTTTCCGAGGGTATAAATCCTTACGGGAGTAGAAAGCCTCATCTTTCTCCCGCGGAACACCTGGTAGTTTCGAACCGCTGACCTTAAGGTTCGCAGCCCGATTCGTAACCACTACGCTACAAGCCATGGTAGTGAAGTAGATTATGAGCTGCACTGCTAACCTCAAGGTCAGCAGTTGGAATTTACCAGTTCTCCACAGGAGAAAGATGAGGCTTTCTGCTCCAGTAAAGATTTACAGTCTCAGAAACTCTATACACTATACAGCGTTGTTATGAGTTTGAACCAACTCCACGGCACTTAACAACAACAAATATACACAAAGTCCTGGTGTGGCACCACAGGATAAGCACTTAGCCATAAGGTCAGTTTGAACCGCAAGGTCAGTGGTTCAAACTCACCAGCCACTCCTTGGAAATCCTATACAGAGTTGCTGTGAGTAGGAACCGATTCAATGGCATTAACAACAACAACAGCATATATATATATATGCTGTAAGATAATCAATGACTGCAAACCACAAGGTCAACAGTTCAAATCCACCAACCACTCCTCAGAAACTCTATACAGGGTCACTATGAATTGGGACCAATGTATTGACACTTAAGCAATATCTGTCTATCTATCTATCTATCTATCTATCTATCTATCTATCTATCTATCTATCTATCTATCTATCTACATATATGGAGAAAGAGAGAGAGAGTATGTCCTGGCTGTGGGTTAATGCTCTGGACTGCAAAATTATTTGAACTGCAAGGTCAGTGGCTCAAGCTCACCACTGCTCCTCAGAAACCCTAAACAGGGTCATATGGCTTGGAACTGACCTGACAGCACTTACAACAACATACCATAGTGACCCTTTATAGGGTTTCCAAGGAGTGGTTGGTGGGTTTGAACCGCTAACTTTGTGGTTCAAATCAAACTTGCGATTCAGTGCTTCTCCTACAGTGCCACATCAAGACTCCCTATATATATTGTTTTCATGGCTACAATTTTTACGGGAGTAGGGTGAACCCTAATTCGATATACCAGGAGTTTCTTATAAGGAGAGAGGCATTTGGACACCAGTAAGGCAATGTGAAGTCAGAGGCAGGGTCTGGAGTGATGTGGCCACAGGCCAAAGATTGCTGGCAACCACCAAAAGCTGCAAAAGATAAGGAAGGACCCTCTTCTAGAGCTTCTGGAAGGAACTTGGCCCTGCTGATGCCCTGATTTTGGACTTCTGGCCTCCAAAACTATGAGAAATACATTTCTGTTGTTTTAAGCCACCCAGTTAGCGGTATTTTTTACAGGGGCCCCAGGAGACATATACACACTTTCTCTCCTCCTCTCCCCTCCCTGCTTGTGTTGTTTCAGGTGGTGAGGGCTGGAAAAACCACCATTAATCTGGCCTCCCAGAAGCCCCTCCTCTCCCCACATCCTGGCCTATCAGCCTTTCCTTCTCACTGCAGATCTACAACCCACTTGTTCCTAAGGCCCCTACAAATTTGTAGGGGAGGATGAACTGCCAAGGTCACTTCAAGGACTGAGATTGTTTAGACTTAGACACCTTATTTTTAATAAGCACTGGCTCTCAGAGGATACAAGAAGGGAGTCAGTCTAAGACAGGGGGAGGCTCAGCCCTGTTCTCAGAACACTGGGCATGTCAGGTGTAATGAAGGCTCAGGACATTTGGACAGCATGTTCTCTGAACACAGCAGCCAGACACTGCCAGTGTGTCCTGACTCCTGGTGCGCAACGCCTCAGAACAAAGAAAGGGGCCTTAACAATCGCACATGTGCACTCACACACCCACTCTACTGGCAGAAAGAGCCCACCATGATAGGAACCTAGGAGATGATCTTGGCAATATAGAGCTACTTACCATTTCTTCTGTAGGATGCTCCTGGTTGTCCTCGAGCCCACTTCCGAAGTCTCCAGAAGCCTGAATGGTGTACATGGAACAAAAAGCATGACCAATGTCACATCCCAGGGCCTGAGTCACAGCCCGGCCCCTTCATCTCACAGCCATTTCCAGGAGAGAGAGGGCACAGGCGGCTACATGTGCCACTGGGACAAAGACACTGCCCTTCACTGCTTAGATATTGGCAGGTCAACAGGCATGCCCAAACATCAATTAGAGCCACTCTTTGGGAAATCAATTTGATGGGACAGAAACCCTAAAGAAATCCACTCTTGTCTTTTGATAGGTTATCCTGTTTGTGGGGCATTAGCCAAGAAGAGAGAAACCCCAAGAAGAAAGCTGTTCACTGCAGTGTTACTTAACCACGAGAACATGAGTAACCAGGAACCCAGCTGATACAGTCTCAGACGGAATGGGTGTGACCAGGGAAAGTGGGCTGTAGGTCATCTTCCCTGCTGCTACTGTTTAATGTGGACGGCCACACTCAGGTTACAAGTGTCTGGCCAGCTTTGGGAAGGTCCATCTAGGGCTGATAGGGGAGTCACTGGTACCGGGATTGCCTTCTTGCTATAACATTTGAAATTAATAAGACCGGGAGGAAAGAAGGCATCTGAGCTCTTTACTGACCCTCCTCCCTGGAGCTCACAGTAGGCATAGTCCTAAGTTAGGATGCCTCTCTGGGAATTTTCACAGGGGTTCTGGGAGAAGCAGGGGCCCCACTCTGAAGACAGACTGCTAGGGCTGCCTGGCAGCTCCAACTGCCGGGGCACAAGCACTAAGTAAGCATCAACTGCATCCCTGGATTTCTCTAGGTATAAAAGATTTATCAGAGAAAATGTGGAAAACCCTTGTAATTGTAAATAAATAAATAAATATACACAAACTGCTCACAACCCAACCACAGCTAATACTTTTCCTTAAGTGTTTTGGGGGATACATAAGGTGTGGAAAGTGTTTGCCCTTTGTGGGGAAGGCTGTCTTTCTAATCTGGGGGTCTGCCCAGGAATGTGACTCCTTCACCCCAGGGGCTAGTGGATTTTATTCTGTAGGTCCTGTGGAATTGATACCTTGACTCTCTATATGTAGTAAAAGAGGAAAGCTGGGACCTGTGTCAAGTGGAAACCTATCCAAGAAGGAAAACTCAGACATTTTCCACTAAAACGTGCAATAGAAACATGGCTAAGACCGCACCCTGTCAAAGTGGAAAATATGGGAGACCTGGAAAAATAAAGCTGCCCCACTGAGTTCCGGCTCTCACAGGTTTCACTGTTTATCTCTGAATATCTATATCTATGTGTGTGTGTTAGACTGAAAGCGCAGTGGCTCCACACAATAAGCACTGGACTGTGAACCACAAGGCCCACAGTTCAAGCCCATTAGTGGCTCCACAGGAGAAGATGTAAAACCTCGGAAACCCTACACAGTGTCGCTATGAGTCAGCAATTACTCCACAGCACTTAAGCACAATATACATACACATATATATTTGGCTATTGGTTACTACTATGTATTATTATTAGCTGACTGGCTATTCTAGAGGTGGTTTTCAATATTAATTTTGTATTCTTTGTTTGATTTTAGTTCAGAGTTCAAGACAAGGGTAGGATATTTCTGATGTCCTATAAATAAACAATATCCCAATGATGTATTTCCTTCACATCACTCTGAGGTTCTGGAGGAAAGGAAGCTTTGACTGTCCTTTCCATTTCCGGGGTAAGAGTGGGATCACCATGGGTTTAGTGCCCCCCAGCCGCCACCACAACCACTCACCCCATCTGAGTCATCGCCGTCCTCTTCCAGGCAGTACAGAGGGCTCACCTGGGCGTCTCCACGCACCTTCAGCTCTGCAATTAACCCCTAAACACAGAGAGAGATAAGGCAGAGAGGTCTCCACCAGCTCTGAAGCAGGCTGTGGGCAGAGGGAGACCCCACCTCACATGATGTCACCACACCGCTGTGTGAATGAACCTCCTTCTTGGGTTGTCCCTTCTGGGGTGAAGACTATGAGAATGTGATGATGAAACCGAAGTTGGGGTGTCCCCAGTACTCAGGTATATTTAGTGAAGAGGCAGAACACGCAGCCCCTTATTGGAACCAGGGGGTACTCAGGCACAGGGATGAGGCAGAGCGAACTGGGTCTTCTCTGATGAGTAGACTGTAGTTTGGTTTGAGCATATCTGATGGTCATACTTGACCATCATTTATCTAAAAGCCCAGCAGCAGCAGACTTGATGGCATTAGAATGAAGGGAGGAGACTGAATTGACCTCATCCCCTGGGTATGGTAAGCAGAAGCTTTGCAGATGAAAGTTTGATCTGAAACTTAACTTTTGAATAATAAAAACCAGGAAGGCAGCACTAAAAGCTAAAACAATCCCACAAAACTTGGGAGAACTCTTTTATGTTCTGAGGCCCCAGAATTATTGTCACTCACTCATTGATTCACCCACTTGCTTGCTCTGCCCCATGAATTCCCACATACGCCCAACCATCTTTGAAAGCACTAGGATGCAACAGGGAATAGAGCAAAGCCCCTTCCGCAATCACGGACAGACATGCCCATTCCACAGGCATGAAGGCCCTGCCACAGTTTGAGGGGAACCCTAGTTGTTTTGACCAAACTGGTACAGACATAGGAGGGAACTTCAACAAGTTCATAGAAAAATGGAATAAAAAGATTATGCAAAATTTTCAGGACCTTTTGAAGCTCCCTCATACATTTTCAGAGCTGAGGTCACATGTAACCTCGTAAACTCTCTTGCACTTCTCAGAACCATCTGAATCACCACCCCAACACCGCCCCCCCACCTTGCCCACTAGTCCAGAAGCCAGGAAGGGGCAACTGCAGGCACAACTCAGAGCCCTCAAAATGCCCCAAGAGTAAAGTCTAGCTCCTCCTCACAAACACACTGCCCTCATGGGCCTGGGTTGAGCCCACCACCCCTGTACAAATCTGAACACTTTCTATTGGCAAGTGGGGGACCCCTAAGCCCCTACAGTCTACAGCAGGGCCTGCAGGGATAGGAGGGCAGGCCTCATGGGGGGTTGCATGGGAGCCTGGTTACAGACAGGCCAATGGTGCTTAAGCACTGAAGAAGGACAGTCCATAGAGGCTGAACATGCCACAGTGAGATAATTTCGCTATAAACAGTGGTTGGTCCCTTAACAAGTATCAGCCTCCTTCCCTGGGCCAAAGGGGTGAATGTGTGTGAACATGTGTGGGCGTGGGTGAGAGCTTGAGTGATTTGTGTGTGTATGTGTGCATGAGCATGTGAGGGAGGCATGTGCATGTGCGTGAATATGTGGTGGCAAGGATGCAGAGCAGAGATTTCAGTAGTAAACCTTCTGGTCCTTTGGTGAGCAGGCACTAGGAGGTGCACTCGCCCAGGGAAAGCACATACATACTCATCAAAAGTGGGAAACGCTTTGTTGTATGCCTTCATGATAGCAATCCAGCACAGGATTTCAGCATGCAGACCTTGCAGTTACCAGCCCAATGTTCAACTACAGTGCCACACCAGGAAGCTCTTTAGAGATGCAAATTCTGGGTCTTCTCCAGTCTGCAGATTAGAGACTGGAGGGAAGGGAGGTCAATCTGCTTCTAAGGCCTCCAGTCCCCCAGGGGAGTCAGACCCAGTACTACGGAGTCTATATTCTAGAAACCCAACTTCTTCTAGCTGTCCCCTTGGGGGACATTGCTGGCTTTTGTAATGGTGGGAGCAGGCACAGATGTTGTTGCAAGTGATGGACACATGAGGCTGCGGGTGCCAGATGTCCCCACATAGATTAAAGTCATCCTGCATGGTTCCTGGGCCTCCCACTAGAGTAGACCCACTACAAGTTTGTGCACTAGGTTCCTAAAACTCTAGAAGCTACAGGACACCTGTATCAGGACCAGGATGGCATGGGTGTGGAGAGGGATGCTTCTCTGTACAGACCCTGACAGAAAGGACTGAGATGTGTATCCCTCTATTTCTCCCAGGCTTATAGCTTCCTCATAAGTTTCATTCCAGAAGATGCCAACGGAGCTAAGGCCTCCCAAGAAGAATAATCATGCCAACCCACCCCAAGTGGGAATCACTTGTACCAACCTAGTAGCCAAGGTGCCCCACTCACCCCACTAAAGGAGACCCTCTGCTGTACCAGCTGCCCCGAGTTCTTGGCTGGAGGCCTTCTGCCTCTACAAGGCCCTCTAATCACATCTGGGATTTGGAGCAAGACTTTGTGAGGAGCCCACACCTTGCCTTCCTCCTGACCTTCAATTCATTTGTCGCCCTTGGGAAAGGCTGTTTTTCTTTAACTAAAAACTAACAAAAATGGTTAAAATAAAATAGTGAGTAGAGGTCAGAAGGATTCAACTACCACCAAGAAAGAAAAGCCAAGACCAGAATTCATCCTTTGGGCCCAATATTCCTATTTTGAGAACCTCCTAGACCTAGGGGAAGATTGATGCCAAGACACATATCCAAGGGATGCCAGGCCCACAGATGTTGAATGAAGACAAGGAGCTTCCTCCAGAGCAGACAACGAGAGAAAGCCTTCCCCTAGAGCAGAGATCCTGAATCTGGCTTCTAGCCTCCTAATATGTGAGAAAATAAATTTCTGTTTGTTAAAGCCATCTCATGTGGTATTTCTATCATGACAGTACTGAATAACTAAGATGGAAGCTGCATTTGTCCCACCGGAGACTTATTTCCTCTATACTATATGTTTCTACATGGTATGTAATGATATGCAAATCCTACACTGTTGTTGCTAGTCATGGGAGAAACCATCGAGGTGGGGGCTGCAAGCTGTTTTTCCATCCTGTTCTGATTGTATCCTGGGGAGCCCCAGCATCAGCTGCCTTATAGTCTTGCCCGGAAATGGGATCTCCTGGGCCTGGGGGAGCATTCCTGTCCATGCTTCAAACAGAGAAGGTGAATGGATGCAGGATCACATGAGATGCAGCCCCCTCTCAAGAAATGACAGGAGGGGATGCCATGTACATGTCTTCCTCCCAGTCCTCTGTATCCTCCTGGCCTGCCATCACCGAACCCAACAGGAGCCTTGTTTCAACCACATTTCACATTTCCTTTCCTTATAATCCTTGCACAGAGTGTCTGAGCCTTGAATTCTTAGTCCCAATTCAACCATTACTATTTGCATCTGATGTCTTCACTATTTCTTCTAGTTTGGTTACACCCAGGCACCTATATACAAAACCACACATTATTAACTATAAACAACTTTTCTTCCACTTCTTCATTCTATTAGGATAGGAAACAGAATGAATATATAACAATGAGTATGGAAGGGTTCAAGTCATTGGTTATAAAAGATAGTACTGTATGGAAGCATGTGGAGAGAGACTGCAGAAGGGCTCAGGAGCCAGGTTCAACATATAGACTTGTGGGTGCCATGTAACTGCAGGACTGGTTATAGCTGGGCTGGGGTTACAGGGAAGGAGAAGGAAGTTTTCTGAGGTCAGGCATGCCAGTACCTATCCTGTCCATTCTGCTTCATTCACTGAATGAGGCTAATTCATTTGGCATTTCCTCAGCATGGATGATAAGCCTCCCAACATCTCAACTTCAGAGACTTCAGTGTATTAATCACTTAGCTTTTATGTAGTGCAGTCAAAGCTACATGCTGAGGAAAATTCACAACCTTAATGTAGATATAGGAAACAACTGTTCTATCAAAGGTATTCCTACTCTAGACTGCTTACCCTTTTAGAGCAAGGGCTGCTTTAACCTTTTCCAAATCATATTTAGCCTCTTAGCATACTGCCTGTTATGGACTAGGGATCAGAGAGCATTTGTGGACAGTTTTTCTGAACAAACAAATGACTGAAATTGAAAGACAGCAACTCATAAAGAAACCCATAGCAGAGAGGAAGGCAGGCTTTATAAAGATAGCATCAAACTTAGTGAGTTAATAAAAAAAACAATTTGATGGAAAATCAAAGAAAAGCCAAGTTTTTTTTTAAAAGCAACCACAGATCATTTGGAATTGAAAAAAATTGTTGTTAGTAATTAGTGATTCACTTCTGACTCATAATAACCCAATTAACAGAAAGAAACACTGCCCGGTACTATGTCTTCCTTACAAGTATGGCTTTGTTTGAGCCCATTGTTGCAGCAACTGTGTCTGTCCATCTCACTGAGGCTCTTCTTCTATTTTGCTGACCCTTTACTTTATCAAGCATGATATGCTTTTTTTAGAGATTGGTCACCCCTGATAACAGGTCCAAAGTACATGAGACGAAATCTTGCTATCCTGACTTGTAAGGAACATTCTGGTTGTATACTTCATCCAAGACATATCTGTTCATTCTTCTGCAGTCCTTTATGTTCAATATTCTTCACCAACACAGTTATTCAAAGGCATTGATTCTTCTTTGGTGCACTTATTCACTGTCCAGCTTTCACATGCATATAGGAAGATTGAAAATACTATGGCTTGGGTCAGGTGCATCTTAGTCCTCAAGTGCTATCTTTGCTCTTTAACACTTTAAAGAGGTCTTTGGCCTAATGTAATATGTTGTCTATTTTCTTGACTGGTACTTCCATGACCCAAGCAAAACGAAGTGTCTGACAACTTTAATCTTGTCTCCATTTATCATGATGGTATTTATTGGTCTAGTGAGGATTTGTTTTCAAGTCAGATTGAATAAGTATGGTGAAGGATGCAACCTTTCCTGGTTTTAAGCTATGCAACATCCTCTTGTTCCATTAGACTGTGAACCACAGAGTCGGCAGTTCAAACCCACCAGCTGCTCCTCGTAAACCCTATACAGGATCACCATGAGTCGTAACTGACTCAACAGCACTTAACAACAACATCTTGTTCTGTTCAAACAACTGCCTCTTGGCC